GGTGTCTTTGATAAACTGTTTTCCATTCTTACACCTTTTAATTATTTCTGATGACAAAAAGGCATGATTTTGCCTTTCAAATTACCAACAGTGCATTTTGTAACTAGTTAGATGAACCCTAGTTAGTGAGGGAGCAAGTCCAGCTTCTGAGATAATGCAATCATTCTTTTCTCAGTTCTCAGCAATAAGCTTGGTGAGTATTTGGCTTTTTGCAAAAACAGTGCTTTTCAGGCATTAAAGCCAGCTGTTTTTGGTCATCTCCAGGCCACACACACTTGCAAAAACAAACTTGGATCGAACTATGTCACTTATGGCGCTAGAGTGCTTTTCCCAAAGTTTGAAATTTAAACTCTAAATTGAGCGGGTGTATTTTTTTTCCTCTAAGAGAAACAGGGTGTGAAGGGAAAACAAGTACCAAGCTAAATGTGACAACCACAGTAACTGAGTTTAAACACAGAATTAAGGTAAAGGTAAAAGTTTTCCCATGACATTGTCCAGTCTCTGGGGTGTGGCGCACATCTCAATTTCTAAGCCGAAGAGCCTGCATTGTCTGTAGACACTTCCAAGGTCATGTGGCCAGCATGGAGCGCCGTTACCTTCCCGCCAGAGCGGTACCTATTGATCTACTCACATTTGCATATTTTTGAACTGCTAGGTTGGCAGAAGCTGGGGCTGACAGCGGAAGCTCACGCTGCTCCCCGGAATCAAACCTGTGACCTTTCGGTCAACAAGGCTTTTTCACAATTGAGACTCATGCGCCAACTGTGACCTTACCTCGTGAAGGCTGATCTAGCCAGGGTGGTCCATGCCTTGGTCACCTCTAGTTTGGATTACTGTAACGCGCTCTATGTGGGGCTGCCCTTGAAAACAGCTCAGAAATTTCAGGTAGTCCAACGAGCGGCAGCCAGGATGTTAACTGGTGCTCCTTACAGAGAGAGGTCTACCCTCCTGTTCAAGGAGCTCCATTGGCTGCCGTTCATTTTCCGGTCCCAATTCAGGGTGCAGGTGCTCACCTACAAAGCCCTAAATGGTTTGGGACCCATCTACCTGCGTGACCGCATCTCCGTTTATGAACCCGCTCCCTTCGTTCCCTGCTCACGATCCCACCTGCGTCGCAAGTGCAGTTGGTGGGGACAAGGGACAGGGCCTTCTCTGTGGTAGCCCCCCGACTCTGGAACTCCCTCCCCAAGGACATCAGACAAGCCCCTATGTTGGCAGTCTTTAGGAACAGCTTGGAGACCTGGCTATTCCGGTGTGCCTTTCCAGAATAGGAAACTCCAGCAACACGTCCCAGAAGCACTTTATTAGAGATCTAAGATTGTCCACACATTGCACTTACCCAAATATCCTTATATTGCACTTGGCATACTCAGCACTTTTTAATCTGTACCCATTACACTTGGCCAGGCCTTAGTTTTATTGTGCAATGTGTACTGTTTTTACTGTTTACTGTTATTGCTTTAATGTTTTGATTTGCTTTATGGTTTATGTGTATCTGTTATATTGTTGTTTTATTGAGGCCTTGGCCTTTGTAAGCCGCATCGAGTCCTTCGGGAGATGTTAGCGGGGTACAAATAAAGTTGATAATAATAAATAAATAAATAAATAAATAAGCTCAGCAGCTCAGCGCTTTAACCCACTGTGCCACCGGGGGCTCCAACACATAATTATTACTACTATATTGGGTTGTTGTAGGTTTTTTTGGGCTATATGGCCATGTTCTAGAGGCATTCTCTCCTGACGTTTCGCCTACATCTATGGAAAGCATCCTCAGAGGTAGTGAGGTCTGTTGGAACTAGGAAAATGGGTTTATATATCTGTGGAATGACCAGGGTGGGACAAAGAACCCTTGTCTGCTGGAGCTAGGTGTGAATGTTATTATATACTATTATATTTATTTATATCCTGCTTTATCTCTCCAAAAAGAGACCCAAAGAAATTAACAATAATAAAAACCATACAATATAAAACATAGACATCACCTCCTCTTGTGTGAGCTTTATTTATACTAGAAAGTAAATGTGGGTGAGAAGTGAGGTGTCAGTCAGTGTGACATAACTTGGGGCCTTTCCACACAGCCATATAACCCAAAATATCAAGGCATACAATCCACAATATCTGCTTTGAAATAGATTATCTGAGTCCACGCTACCATATAATCCAATTCAATGTGGATTTTATTCAGCTGTGTGGAAGAGGCCTGAAACTTCAAATGTGTCATAGGATCAACACAAGACCTTTGGGGTAAATACGGTACTTTTCTAGGCCAAATGTTAAATCATTGAATCTTTAGAAGATAACTCAGCAGCAAGCCAAGTTGCTGTGATAGAACAAAACATGGAGAAAACCCAACACAAAAACAGATCCCTTGAGGAAATGAAGTAAGCTATATGGCATGAATCCATTGATTCCATGGCAAAGGACTCAAAACCAAGCAGATCACAAGATTATTTAAGAAAGTATGGGTGAGTCTACACTCACTGCAAAATCTAGAGCCAGGCTAGAACATAAATGGCCAGACACATCTGACCGAATCTGTTCCACATTGATGTCCAACTAGATGGAGATCATATTGGCCTTTATGAATGGCCATTTCATCCTCAATGTCACCACTGCCACTCCCAGCGGGACCACATAAGTCATTGCAAGCTCCTGGCCATCATTAGTGGTCCTTTTTGACATTGGTAGAGTTGTCCACACAACCAGCAAGATGAGGGAATCAATATTTTCTTAATGAGCTCAAGGAACAAATGATTGTGCCAGTATCCAAATCTTGATGTTTAGATTTATCTGTAGAGGTGGGTTGCTCCAGAGGGTAGACTTTGACTGGGGAAAATGGGTTTAACCCTGAAAAAAAACCCCTAAAACCAAAAACACACAATACTTCCCAGAAGTTGCCAAACATTGTGGAACAACCAGTAGTGGATTTGAGTCCAAGTTTTCCTGTCCATGCAGACTTGCTTTGTATTATGTGACTGAAAAATTGAACACACCGAAAGCTGTTTAACCCATTACCTACTCGCACATTTACCAAACACTGCCCTTTGCTCACACAGAGGAAAACAACACCCAGCCTCCTGTGCTCACCCGCCATACTTGTTGCTATTTTCTTGATATCTGGCTTGTGCTTTATTAGTACATAGAATATATGCAAACATACACATTTATATAAAGTATATTTTTTTACACATGAAACCCAAATACAGTTTTACATTATTTCAAAAAAATGGTAGGAGAAAGGCTGGACACCTGAGCAATTAAGTCTCAAGGAAATTATAACTTTGTATCTCCATCCAATGGACAATCTATAATTTTGTGCTAAACAATTATTAGATCTTTATTTCGTATCAGAAGTATTGCATAAATAAGTATAAAACTGATAAAAATAGGAGCACAAGCGGTTAAATATTTTTTGACCAAAAAACAGGCAACAGAGACTGCATTGTCTGTAGCTTTAAACAGTTCTTCCTCTGTGCATGAGTCAGGGCATTGTGGACAAGCATACAGGTGCTGAGTTGTTTGTTCTGCTCCACAGTTGCACAAGGTGGAGGATTCTCCAAGGTAGTGCCATGTTGCCACGTTGTCTTTTGATCTGCCAACTTCACTTCTGAGTCTGTTCAGGGACTTTCAAGTTGCCCATTTTTGGTTTGCCCCTGGAGGAAGACCCTCGTGGGGGGGGGGGGCATCCAGTTGGGGTTTCCTGGTTTAGCTGCCCAGAGGGATACTCTTGCTTTATGCCGGGGGAACATTAAGATTAGATTATGATCCCTATGATCAGGTAACTGTCAGAACACTTACAGTTCAATTTCTGGGAAAGAATTTTGAGATGATACTTTCAACAGTGATTGAAACCCTGAAAGTTGCATGCTACCCACAAAAAGCATTTTTCTCAATGCCATTGACCTTCCCCCCCCCTTCATTTCCCACATACCCCCATAGGTTTTGCAAATAGGGAAAGTGTACATTCAATGGTATTTTTTTATAGAATTGAAGACACCCTTCCCACCTATGTTTAAGAAGGAAATATTGTGAAGCATTTCTCTGCTAAAACAGGATGCTTTGCTATTGTTGTTGTTGTTCCATTCCAGTTTCACATGAAGGGGCTGATGTGGCCCCTAGAGAGGCTTGGAACTGATTTGCCCTAGCTCTCACATAAAGCGTAGTGAAGTGAAGGCTAAGAATGGAAAAGGGAATTATTACAAGGTTTGAATGAAAAGTAATGCCTCCACCTTCACAACTCCTCAACAGCTGGCAGTACTGGTATGCGGCAGGTACTGGCTTGTTCAGTAGACTCTCCTCTACAGTTCAATTTTGGTGGGAAGCCTTAGCATTGAACGGTTGTATTGTTAAAGTGTGAAGTACGGAATCCTGCACAGACGGTCGGTCAATGCGACTTAAGCAAGGTGCAGTCATTGAATTCTTGACAGCAAAAGGTGTCACCTCAACATCTTTACACTTACTCGTCCAATGACACACAGTACTCACATCAGCACAATCACCATCAACAGCTTGCATTCTCTGATGAATCTCCTTTCAGGTGATACATTCTGAGGTCAAGAATTCAGTGACTGCAGGTTGCTTAAGTCGCATTGACCGGCCGTATGTGCAGGGTTCCATACTTTACACTTTAACAATGCAACTGTCAGAGGCGGCCCTAGGTAATTTTCAATGGTAAGCAAACAGTATTTTGGCGCCCCCCCCCCCCCCCCCCAAATCATGGATATATATTTTCTGTTCATCATGGGAGTTCTGTGTGCCATATTTGGTTCAATTCCATCACTGGTGGAGTTCAGAATGTTCTTTGATTGTAGGTGAACTATACATCCCAGTAACTACAACTCGCATATGTCAAGGTCTATTTTCCCCCAAGAGCGCCCCTGGACCAAATCAACTATACTGCAAATGCTTACTTTGCGTAATGGGTTGAGCCGCCCCCGACAACTGTTCAATGCTAAGGCTTCCTGCCAAAATGGAACTGAAGAGGAGAGTCTACTGAACAAGCCAGTACCTGCTGCATAGCAGTACTGCCATATGTTGAGGAGTTATGAAGGTGGAGGCGTTACTTTTCATTCAACCCTCGTAGGAAGAGATCAAGGGACAAAATCCAAAAAGCAAGTGTTATCAATATTAGACAGTCCGAGAGCCCTTTTCTATCTCACTGGGCCCTTGGGGAGGGGTCACCAGAAGTGACTGGAAGGGCATGTCTGCTTTCAAAAGGAAAGATTACAGGTAAAACAGGGATGGCTCTTACTTTGGAAAGGTTTGCCCTAGCTCTCACATAAGCCTTTAGCTTTCACATACTCAGAAGCTTAGAGAGATATGATTTTGCCCCTTTTGTAAAAATAAACATATTTAACTGACAAGGTTAAATGTACCCTCATTGGTAAGGCAATTTGGTCTCTTAGGGTCCTTCCAGACCGTCCCTATATCCCAGGATCTGATCCCAGGTTTTCTGTTTATCCCAGATTATCTGGTAGTGTGGACTCATATAATCCAGTTTAAAGCAAAAAACCTGGGTTCAGATCCTGGGATATAGGGCCGGCCAGGAAGGACCCTAAAAGTCATTATTTAACTCTTAATGAATGACTATATGATGTTGCTTCTTTTGTATTACAAAGCCATTTGCTAATAACCTCCGCTGCTTTTTTCCAGTGCCAGTATCCTCCATGCATATGGGCTAATGCACCACAGATCACATATCTTGCTTCTCAAGACCACTCTGCAGAACCTGATAACTGTGCTTATCTGCACTCATTATTAGTACATATGCATAAGAGGGTGCTTTAACTGAGAATATGCTGTAACTGTTTAGTAGGGTTACAGATTTTCCTTCCTCGCTGGAAGGAGTGAGGTCAAACACATCTCATTTTTGTGTGTGTCCTTCTTCTGCAGGCAAGGTGCATGCTTCACTCAAAGAAACCTCAATCTCTGGGATTTCGCACGGCTGTAGACTGATGGAGTTCCAAGCTTGCTCGCTGACTGTCATGGAACGACTGACTTCCCATAATGTGTGTTTCACCAATTCCGAAAAAGTGACTCTGGGACAGAACTGGAGCTTTTTGCTGAGCAGGACGTAAAGAATGGGGTTCAAGCAGCTATTGATAAAAGCAAAGCCGACAGAAAGAGGAATGGCATCCCGAAACAAGTCATGGAAGTAGTCACTGTGGTGAGCTGAAAGTTCAAGAATGCTAAATATATGGTAAGGAGTCCAGCAAATGAAGAAAACCACCACAACAACCAAAATGGTCCAGAAGAGCCTGCTGGAGGTCAATACGGCACTCTTCTTCACCCGGATGACCAGAAGGGAGTAACAAATGATCATGGTTAAGAGGGGAAAGAGATAGCCACAGATGAACCGCACCCAGGTCAGAACGTGGTGCTGGAGCAGAATGAGCTCAAGGTCATCTGGGTGAAAGTTATTGTAGCAAATGGTGATGTTGCTGGGTAGTGTAAGTGTGTCTCGAAAATACAGTGCCGGGCTGCCAATGAGCGCAGCCAAAATCCAGATAGCCAAAATCAGACGGAGAGTGTTATTGAGAGTGCGGTGCCTGTACGAGAAAGCTGGGTGGATCAAGTGGATATACCGGTCAAGGCTGATGGCCGTCAAGAAGAAGACGCTGGCAAACATGTTGAACAGAGCAATGAAGGAGTTTGCTTTGCAAAGCCACTTCCCAAAGGGCCAGTGGAAGTCCAGGGCCATGTATGCAATGTAAAGGGGCAGGAATAAGACAAAGATCAAGTCTGCAATGGCCAGGTTAAGAAACCAGAGAGAAGTAACAGTCTTGTCCCACTTAAAACCCATGATCCAGATGACTAGAGCATTGCCGGGCACGCCAAGCAGGAAAGCCACACTGTGCAACACAAGCGAGGCAATTTGGGCACCACTGAGGTAGAACTCAGGAGTTTCATCTTCTTCATAGTTCTCAAAATATTCAGTGAAGTTATCTTCAAGCGACATGATGGCGGTCACTTGATATCAGCGTTCCTGGTTGAATCCTTGGAGGATGCGGAACTGGAGGGGGAATAAAAAGAAAACCACAGGAAAAAGTGAGATCATCAAAACAAATTCTAATAGAATGATGCTTGGCAAGGGGATTTTATAGCAACCTGTGAGCACCTATCTGCCTTCATACTTAGGCCAATGGTTCAGCAAGGCATACTCTCATTTCCCGGGATTGTGGCGCAGCTGGCTGAGTGTCAGCTGCATTAAGATCACTCTGACCAAAAGGTCATGAGTTCGAAGCCAGCCCGGGTTGGAGTGGGTTTCCAACCAATTGTGTGTAGCCTGTTGTCGACCTTTGCAACCTGAAAGACAGTTGCATCTGTCAAGTAGGAAAATAAGGTACCACCTTAAAGTGTGGGGAGGCTAAATTAACTGATTTATGAGGCCATAAAGAAGACTCCAGCAAAGCATTCCAGCGGGGAAGCATGTGGGGAATGCGGAAGTACTTCATCAGCGTCGCAGATGGACGATGAAAGTGACAGCTCCCCTGGCGTCCAGAAAAAAGTTAAATAGCCTCTGTGTATGTCTGTATATGTTGCATGTTGAAATTGGCATTGAATGTTTGCCATATATGTGTACACTGTAATCCGCCCTGAGTCCCCTGCGGGGTGAGAAGGGCGGAATATAAAAGCTGTAAATAAATAAATAAATAAATTCCCTATCAAAATAAATAGACACATGGCAATGAACATTTTTTGGATGCTATGATACGAGAAGGTGCCAGCGCACACATCTATATATATAAATCTGTTAGGTTGGTTCAATGGGACAGCAAAACTCTAAAAAACCCCAACGAAACTTAACCAAAATTCCCATGCCCATAACACAACCCACAAGGTACAAACATATCTACTCAAAATGAAAAACAACACAACAACACACTCACAAAACGGCAAAACAACAAAACTCAAAAAAACCCAACGAAACTTAACCAAAATTCCCATGCCCATAACACAACCCGCAAGGTACAAACATATTTACTCAAAATGAAAAACAACACAACAAGAGAAAGAAAATATACAACCAAATTAAAAAAGGTAACTATGACGTAATTGCACTACAAGAAACACATATCGCTCAGAAACATGCAGATTATTTAATCCAAAAACAACTCGGGAAAGAATTCTACTCCTCATCAGTCGACAAGAAAAAGGGGGTGGTGATCTACACAAAAGAAAAGTTACCAGCCAAATTGGCCTTTAAAGACCCAGATGGACGAATAATAGGTATTACTCTAGAAAGAGGCAAGCAAAAACTACTAATCTGTAATATATACGCCCCAAACGGGCCGAAAGGAAAGTTTACAAAGAAACTTAAAGAACTGATCTTGGAACAAGACCCCCAAGATATAATACTATTTGGAGATTTCAACGGTGTGATGGACAATAAGATGGACAGGACAAAAACAGCTAAGAGATTAGGGCCAAATAGACAGGGAAAGCTGCCCGAGGGACTAATAAAGCTGAAGGAAGAGCTAGGCCTGCAGGATACATGGCGGACACATCACGCCTCTGAAAGAGATTACACTTACTTCTCAAATAGACATAACACCTGGTCAAGGATTGATATGGTATGGACGACCAAAACACTAACATCCAAAGTAGACAAGATCAAAATCCTACCAAGAAGAGACACAGGCCACTGTCCACTGGAATTACACATTGACCAAAAACCTGGACATAGAAAATGGAGATTAAACGAAAACCTCTTAAGATCAAAAGAAGAGATAGAGAAAAACGAAAAGTTATCGAATGAATACTTCAATTTAAACTCTACCCCGGGAATGGAAAACCATATAATATGGGACGCAAGCAAAGCGGTTATGCGCGGGTATTTCATACAACAAAGCGCTTGGAAAAATAAGCTAAGGAACCAACAAATGATGGAACTACTATGAAAAATAGAGGAAACAGAAAAAGAATCTAAATGCCACCCAAATAACAACAATCTCAAGCAAGATCTACAAGTTCTAAACAAACAACGAAACTTGTTGGAGATGGAACAAACGGCAAAAAAGTTAGTTTATGAAACAATACAATTTTCAAAACGCAAACAAACCGGGGAAGTGGCTCTCTCGAAGGATAAGAAAGAAAAAACAATCGCAGTATATTACACAAATCCAACAAGAAGACAGGTCATACGCAAGAGACTCAGAAATACGGGATCAGTTCCATAAATACTACACAAACTTATACAAAAGAGATATGATAAAGAAAGAAGCTGTTTGCTGCTACTTAGGAAAACAGAAAATCCAGATCATAACTGAGGAGCAACGGGAATGTTTAAACAAAGAGATAAGTGATGAAGAGATGGAAAGTGCGATCAAAAAATTAGATCCGAACAAGGCGCCGGGCCCTGACGGCCTAACTGCTGTGTATTATAAAATGCTAAAAGAAACAATAAAACCACAATTAAAGGAAATAATGAACGGGATACTACAGGGGAAGAAGATGCCAAACTCATGGAGAACAGCAAATATTACATTAATTCACAAAGAAAATACAGATCCCACCAATATCAAAAATTACAGACCTATATCTCTCCTTAACACTGACTACAAAATCTTCACCAACATAATTGCAGAACGACTAAAAAACTTTTTGTCAACATGGATTAAAGAAGAACAGTCCGGATTCCTGCCCAATAGAAACATCAAAGACAATGTCAGAAATATAATCGACGTACTAGAATTCTATGAAGCCCATAACGAAAAAGAACTAGCCTTACTCTCGATAGATGCAGAAAAGGCATTCGATCGATTGAATTGGGACTTTTTCAAACTGCTACTCAGGGAAATGGACATAGGCTATACGTTCATAAATGCAATAGAGGAGATTTACAAAGATCAGGAAGCAGACATCTGGATTAATGGTACAGCCACGAAGAAGATTAAGATAGAAAAGGGCACAAGACAAGGATGCCCCCTGTCCCCCCTGATATTTGTGTTAGCATTGGAGATATTATTAAATAACATAAGGGAAGACGAAGACTTAAAAGGACTCCAAATAGGCAAAGAATCATATAAGTTGAGGGCCTTTGCCGACGATCTTATTTTCACGATAGAAGATCCCTTAAGCAATATAGAGAAATGGATCAAGAAAGTGGAGGACTTCGGCACAGTATCAGGTCTGAAAATCAACAAAGAGAAAACAATGCTTCTGACTAAAAATATTACCAAACCAAGACAGGAAGAGCTAAAAAACAGATCTGGACTACAAATTACGAGCAAAATAAAATATTTAGGAATATATTTAACAGCGAGAAATTCCCAATTATACCAGAACAACTATGATCATAAATGGAAGGAAATAAAAAAAGATCTAAAGAATTGGAGCTCGATGCAATTGTCACTTCTGGGCAGAATAGCTGCCATAAAAACCAACATCTTACCAAAAATGATGTATCTGTTCCAAAACTTGCCAATAGTAAGGAAAACTAGTATTGTGAAAGAATGGAACAAAGAGCTGACAAGGTTTGTTTGGAATAATAAAAAACCCAGGATTAGTTTCACTAATCTAACAGACGAGAGGAAAAGAGGAGGCCTAGGCCTACCGAACTTGGGTCTCTATAGCGATGCCTGTGGACTCCAATGGGTACAGGAATGGATAAACCTGAAAAATAAAAAGTTGCTGACATTAGAGGGCCATGATCTTCGTGCAGGATGGCATTCGTACCTCTGGTACGGAAGAAAGAGTATAGAAAAAAATTTTGGAAACCATTTTGTGCGCTCTGCCCTACTGAAGATCTGGGACAAATACAAAAAAAGGATGTTTAGGGAAACCCCACTGTGGCTTTCGCCTCTAGAGGCATGTCACAGGCGGGAAATGGGATGGTCGATATGGCCCACTTATGAAGACTGCATAAAGAAAGAAAAGGGGACATTTAAGTTAAAAACACAAGAAGAACTATCCAAGAAATTCCCAAATCTGAACTGGTTTCAGTATTTGCAGATCAATAATCATTATATAAAAGATAAAAAAGAAGGATTTGAGGAAAAGAATTCTACATGGCAAAAGATTTTTGAAAGTAAGAAAAAAATAATTACAAAAATATATAGACAATTACTGGAGTGGAGTACAGAAAAAGATCTGATAAAGGGATGCATGATCAGGTGGGCAAAAGATATAGGAAGAACAATACCTCTAGAAGATTGGGAAACGTTATGGAATAAAAGAATGAACTACACCTACGCTTACGACCTTAAGGAAAACTGGACCAAGATGTTTTACCAATGGTATGTCACCCCACACAAGATTGCAAAATTTAACAAAAATCAGAGTGACAGATGTTGGAAGTGCAGGAAAGACAGAGGAACATTTATGCATATGTGGTGGTACTGCGAGACAGCAAAATCTTATTGGAAAGAGATTGCAGAGATCTGTCAAAAAGTGCTAAAAAAGAGAATACCGTTCAAACCAGAAAGTTTCCTCCTGGGGATGACAGATATTAATTGGAACACCAACGAGGATAAGCTCTTTGTCTATATAATCACAGCAGCCAGAATTGTATATGCTAGGACATGGAAGCAAGAGATCAGGCCACGGACAGAAGAATGGACACTAAAAATCATGGATATAATGTGCATGGACAAATTGACGTATATACTAGCAAGAATAAACAATAGGCACACGAAGAGGACTGACTGGACACCCTTGAGTACCTGGCTGAAAGAAAAGAAAACACCTATAACTATAGAGTAACAACCTTAAATTATCTGCAACAACAAAGCAACAACATCAACAACAATAACTATAAGAAAGAAACCTAAGCTTTAACGACCCACTGCCAAAATAAGGAAGAAAAGAAAGAACCACCTACTTGAAATACTTATATGAAGAGAGACGGAAGAACTCCCCCCCCACCAATGTTCTTTATCCCCACTTGTGTACCCCCCCCCACCCTCACTTCCCCGGCTTTCCCTTTTCCCCCTCCCCCTACCCTCTCTCCCTTACCACCCCCTCCCCGCCTCCCCCCCCTCCCCAGCCCCCTCCCCCCTCCCCAACCCCCCC